CCATGTCTCTCTCTCTCTCCCTGTCTCTCTCTCTCTCTCTCTCTCTCTGTCCCCTCTTGCTCTCTCTCGCTCTCTCTCTCTCCTATCTCGCTCTCTCTTTTTCTTTCTCTTTCTCTCTCTCTCTGTCTCTCTCTCTCTCTGTCTCTCTCTCTCTGTCTCTCTCTCTCTCTCTCTCTCTCTCTCTCTCTCTCTCTCTCTCTCTCTCTCTCTGTCTCTCTCTCTCTCTCTCCTCTCTTGCTCTCTCTCGCTCTGTCTCTCCTCTCTCGCTCTCTCTTTTTCTTTCTCTTTCTCTCTCTCTCTCTCTCTCTCTCTCTCTCTCTCTCTCTCTCTCTCTCTCTCTCTCTCTCTCTCTCTCTCTCTCTCTCGCTCTCTCCTCTCTCGCTCTCTCTTTTTCTTTCTCATTCTCTCTCTCTCTCTCTGTCTCTCTCTCGCTCCCTCTCTCACTCTCTCTTTCTCTCTCCCTGTTCCTGTTTCTCTCTGTCGCTCTGTGAATCTCTTCCAATATCATCCATAAGAGGCATGTTTACGCAACGTTATCCCACAGATAATCATTGGATAATTGTGTGTGTGTGTGTGTGTTTGTGTGTCATTCCGCTGATTACCTGCCAATGTCTCTGTACAAATGCGCCTGATGCATGCCCCTTTTGCTAACGCAAGTGGAAAGCTGGCCCTCCTTCTCCATTTTCACTTTTCTCAGTGCGCCCTCTTGAAACTGTTCAACATACACTCATACATGTACGATATCGACTGTCGCTTTTTTGGCACACTCATTGTGCGGGACAAATCAGAAGAGGTGTTTTAGAAACTGGGATCATCTATCCATTATTATGTCGGTTTGCTCGCAATGCTGGCGTGATCCAGTGCCTTGGGCGTTCGAGTTTTACTGTCTTCACAGACAGTGTCAGCGACAGTCTCCATGTCGTGTACGAATTAATAACCTGTGCCTGTTGGCAATGAAGGACGAAATACAGAAGAAAAGGAAGGTGGTAAACTATGCTATCAATTTTTGTACAGTACATGTCGCTCATATCCGTGGAAACCCAAGAGGTTGTGGGAGATACATTTGATTTTCTATGTTGACCGATAACCACTTCTTGCAACACACACCCGCGCGCGCGCGCACACACACAGACACACACACACATGAACACCGAAGGCAACAAACGCATGGGACACTCACTTCCCTCCCATCCATGCCTTGCACGGTGTTGTATCATTATGCAAACACCCTTCCCGCACGCATAACACATTGATACAACACCTAAAGCAGGTATCACAAGTCAACTTTGCCCAGCAGACTATGAACATGACAGACGATATCACCACGCGGTCAGCCCACCATCCTAAGTGCCCGTGGATAGTGATGAAGCTCATGCCCTAAGCCTCAGACCCGTGACATACATGTACATGTAGTTCCCACTTTCCCTAGATACAGTTTCATGATCCACCCTACATCACACATACACGATGGCAACGCTTGGAAAGCAGGCTAAGGCGCCAGCGTGTTTAAACAGAATTTAGCCGCGTGTCTCCGAATCGCCCCTCCCCTGCACGGGTTATCCGGCTAGCTGGCCTGGGGCTGGTAGGTCCAACCACGACACATACTTATCTCAATATGCAGCCATTGGGTCGTGTACATGCTTATGTACAAGTTCCATACTCTCTTCTCCAGCAGGGGTTCCTGCACGCCACTCTATCAGCGAGCCGTGTCGCTCTACCTACCTACCGCTATTCCGCTGTCCCGGCGCTCGACATGTTTCCCAAGCACGCTATCTCTATGGTTGCCGTGCTACGCTACAGTTACCCGGCAATAAATAGGTACGCTACCCCACGCATCCTCTTCAGAATGCAATTTTCACAAGGTAACTTACATTCTCTGTTGTTGTGCTCGTGACAGCAGAGGTGCATTGCTTACAGTTGGTGTGTTGTGTGCATTCCCTTATTCTATATTCCGCCGACCAGCTCAAGAAGACAGACTTCTATAGTGTTACAGATTGACAAGCATGGTAAGAAATAATAATTCTAATTTATCTTCGCACTGCCTGTCATGTTCATATTCTTGTTGTGTAATATCTGTTTCGTATTGTGCCTACATAAACGCACACGCATACACGAAACCAGTCGCCCAGAGATGCTTGTCAACCATGTAATGCTTTGACGATGATGTCTTGGTCCAATCTGCTCCTGCCAAACTGGGAAGGTGGTTGGTAGCAAGTGTAGATTCGTGAGTGGCGTAGCGCGCGGGCCATCTCAGCACTACACACACACATGCACTGTGAGTGCATGGACCACGGATGGTGGCGCTTGGTAAAGAAACCTGCAGCATGTTCACCATCAGATAATAATAATTGTAAAACGGCTGAGTGGAAATGAAAACTGTTCCTGTTCAAAATTATTCTCAGAACCTGGTACCATGGTTCACGCGAAAAATCACACAAACTTCATGTTTTCTGAACGCAAATACACATTGTTTCCAGGCTTCATCAAAGCGGCAGACATATTTTGTAATTTTCCTGTGTTTGTGCTACAGGCTGGATCAGTTGTTATGTCCGTGCTTGCACTGGCTTCTGTCCTCATCCTCCTTTTCACCTCGGAGAGCCGCGGACAAGAACGTAAGTCACGACCATCTAATGTGTGCATGCCTGCGTACATAGAAGTGCTTGTGCCTATCAAAAACTCCACTAGACTCTAGAGCTTTGAGCGGCGCTCGACTTTTTTTGCTCGGCAATTTATACAGATCGATTGGGAACGTGGAAGGGAGCTGGTTAGGTTCATGATTTGATCATTTCGCGCTATTTCGACTTAGTAGCTGTGTTATATGCATAGAAGTACAAGACTTAGTAGCGTACAGTTGAGATTTGATCTTACGAAGACTAGCTTGTGTTGAACAGTATACTAGTAGCAGCTCTATGCCGTGCCGTGATAGAGATCTTGCGTTTTTTCTGCGTGGAAAGGGGGGGGGGGAGTGGAAACGCTTTAGTTGCTTTAGGCGATATGCGATGTATATGTAGCTGAAATTCGATCTACAGCCGATTTTTCGTCGAAACTATCGCGTGTTGCGTCGTGCCTTTGAAGGGGTGCAGAGTTCAATTGCTCGCAATTATGACGTCCAGGAAAGACTTGGGATGGTAGTGAGGCAGACTTGCCACTTTTGCGAAGTGCACGTCACGTCAAGTGTGATTGTGTGGTTTCTTGCGTGTCTGAAGAGATGAGCATTCCTAGTGCAAGTAGGAAACCCGTGGTCGCATGGCTTCATATCCGTGCAAAAGCCAACTCTAGTCCATGGCATGCGCGCATATCACAATCGACTGTGCAGAGCACGTAACAGGAGTACCTAGTACTAGTACTAAGGTTTGAGCCTCATCACGTGACTAAGCACCACCAGACCCCAGAGCTCCGGCATGATGCCTCGTGCTGCTAGATTCATTGTGCCCATGGTAACGCTAAACTGATTGGTCGTCCCAATAGTGATCAATGACATAACATAACATGTACATGTATGTGTAGAATTCCATAACGCGTTGCGTCATAGTTTAGCCATGCAGAGATTTCGCTAAAACGAAGTCATGAAGCAAGTGTTCTTAGCTATTTAGTCCGGCCACCTTTTACTGGGAGGTGAGCGGAAGGGATAGATCGATAAATACATGTAGATAGATAGGTAGAGAGAGAGAGAAAGAGAGAGAGAGAGAGAGAGAGAGAGAGAGAGAGAGAGAGAGAGAGAGAGAGAGAGAGAGAGAGAGAGAGAGAGAGAGAGAGAGAGAGAGAGAGAGAGAGAGAGAGAGAGAGAGAGAGAGAGATAGAGAGAGAGAGAGAAAAAGATAAACAGAAATAGAGAGTGAGGCACAAATTTAGAGACAGGGGACCGAGCCAGAGAGAGAGACAGACCGACAGGAAGAGAGAGAGAGAGATAGTGAGTACGAAGTGGAACACTTCGCTGGCGGTTCTGGCCCCAGCTAAACTCCTTACATGGACATGATCTGAACTAGATGCTGTAAAAATGATATAGATATATCAGATTGGCACTTCTGGGATATTGATTTTTGTCTTGAAGGTACCATTATTGCATTAATCTTAATCCAGAAATGTCAGGTTTGAGCCAGCGATTGAATATTCTGTGTCAATAACGAATCAGGGACAGAAAGCCTTGCTTCAGGGAAATATTTGTCCCAAGAACAGATATTATAGTATCTTTGTTGAAGAAAGCTTCTTTCACGAGCAAGCTTAGCCCAGTCACAATCATTACCACCTACTATTGAATAGTTTAACCCAACACAACCGTAACAAAGAACCCTTCTCAGCACAATGGCATACGTCTGCACTAACTACATGATTGTATTTGCGTGAGGGTTAACGTTGGATTTGTTGGCATGCGTCTTGAGGATAAAGGATTACCTGCATGCTCATTCAAGCGGACGTGATCTATCGTCAATAGTCCAAAGTTATGGTTATCGTTAAGGCCGTGAACTGTACGTTAGTCGTCGTAACTACCCGTGAACTGTAAGTTCCTCGTCGTAACTGCTGCCATCAGTACTATCGTAAACTGGATATGGTTACACCACAGCGGGCTTGGAGAAACCGTACCACAGCCAGATCCCCGCCAGTTCAGGATAGCACAGCATTCTCACATGACATGAGACGTTGACTTGTTTCTGTAGACTAGTGCACTGGCATCGATTGGTACAGCTGATGCTGACTAGTCCAGGGTAGTGACTCTGTGATCTCTGTGATCGCGATCCTCTAGACACCTCTGCTTGGCGTCAGACATGCGAGACAACTTCATGATGGACAACGTGATTCCGGACAGCACTGGGCCGGGTAGCTAATTGCCTTTTTCGCCAGATTTCAAACTGGCCCCACCACAGACCAGTGACAAAGTGTAATGATAAGCGTGACGAATGGTCCATTGGTTTGATTGCGCCTTGACTGCCTGCATCACAAGCCGTGAGCGTGACAGCATAGTCCTTGCCCTTGACGTCGGCGTATTCGATGCAGCATTAAATACTTATGGAGCCTGGTCTGTCGGGCCGAATCAGTAGATCGGTAATTGTTATAGGCATTGTGCATAGCGTGCGTGTCCGCTTTTGGTCCGTAACTTTGTTTCTGCAAGTTCAAAGCGACTAGCTAGCACGATCTTGACCACTTGTTTGCCAGTAGTCTTCTCAGGCAGCGTGCTGGTATCCACTTAACGTACTACACCAGAAGTACAGTTCTGACAAGAGTGAATGTTTGCGTAGATGACGGTGTGCATTTTAGTACTTTGAACGCGGCGGGATCGAGCGGGGCTTAGAAAATGAAGCAGATCAGCGAGCCGCATCCACCCAGAGCAGAGTTCATCCATGTCGAAGAGGAGTGGCACCCATGCGAGCGAGCAGTATCCCTCCGTGTAGGTAAGGTGTCGCGGACTCGAACGATAACATTCATGGTACTCTTACGACAAAACCTGTGCGAATAAGAGGTGGGATATTTGGGGTATGCGGTAACGGTAGAGATAACCAGCCCATAGAGGACTCTGCGGATAGTGGTAAGATATGTTAGAGACCTCCTGTTTCACAGAGCTCGTCCCCTTGTGGATACCAGGTATACCACCTAGATAACTATTACACGTATGAGAGGGGGGGGGGGAGAGTGATGAGAATTGGACGATTACTGGAGATGCGATGACACCTAATGAAAAATAGGTCGGATGTGTGTTACAGCAGCATGTATCATAGGAACAGTGTCTTAGCACTACAAGGTCAGTAAGCTACTTGTCCTTCCATAGCTGCTGGCACCATCAAGATATCACCCGTTATGAGCCCTCTGGTTTCATTCCACGTAGAGTAGCGATGTGACTCATACTGTCATAGAGCACTGCGTTGTGTGAGACAATGGCCATTGTGTTTGCAATTTGCTGCTGATTTTGGGACTTCACAGGACTGTGCTGTACGTAGTAGCGTAGTAGTAGCATGGTCTACAGACGTAACCATGGTAACGTCGTTGAACGCTGTGTGTAGGCCTACTGCATGCTGGGATACTGGAAGTAGTACTAGTAGAACTGCAGTCACTACAGGAACTACTGACTAGTGACCAGTAGTAGTAGTAGTAGAACTGCAGTCACTACAGGAACTACTGACTAGTGACCAGTAGTAGTAGTAGTAGTACACCTACTGAGACTGTCGTGGACATGCAAACTCCTGTTGGAGGTCAAGCGGTCCCAGGGCGAGGGCGCTGGCCATGCAGCCGTTACTTGGTGGTAGTACATTGTGCACTACGATCAACGTGTGCACGCGCACTGCATGCTACGTTCTGTACGCACTGAGGGCGCGGGACCCGGTCCTCCGACTGTACTTCCATGTCCAGGACAGTACTCTACGCAGAAGCTGATACACGTGTACTCTAACTATCATGCTTGTAAGTTGTATTGTTGTTGTTGTTGTTGTTGTTGTTGTTGTTGTTGTTGTTGTTGTTACGGTGTTGTACTGTATTGTCTAGAGCGTGACACTAAGGAACGGAACGTGCACGTTTCTACTGTTCTCTAACAGTTCACGGTTACTTTACGATAGTCCCCTGTGTCCGATTTAGCAGGACACGCGTTGCACTGTCATGGCGCGTATCCTCTGACCTTGAGTTGTCAAGCACCCTCCTGAGCCTGTCATGTTGTGTCAGGTTGTGTAGTCTATCTTCTGGCATCTGTCAAAGGGAATACGTCTCGACACGCGCGGGCATGTCTACACGTAGAGGCAGGACATGCACTGGTACTGGCATTGTCTGTGACTCGACACTTCATCTAGCTCCACTCAGGCTTCATGTCGCGATCGCAGAGGGATCCTATGTGCACGCTGTATATGCATGCACACAGTCGTAGTGTCCAAGCAATCGATTAATCACTCGTGTTGGCTCCGTAAATAATTATTGCATCGACGTCAGGAGGAGAGCTGGAGAGAGAATGTCTGATATGAGTGCACATGATTGTACAGTCATGACGTCATTATGTACGTTACAAATACACTGTAGCCGTGTAGGTCTATCATAATAATTTTTTATTTTGCTCCAGACGTGACACATGATAGCGTGTCGCTGACAAGTGTCTCTCCGTGCCTCTGCCTCTGCCTCTGGACTGTCTGTAGTCCACTGTAGTCAGTGTAGACTAGTATAGTCATACATTCTACACTGCAGTCAGTGCAGTCAGTGCAGACAGTCAGTCAGCGCAGACAGTCAGTCAGTCAGTCAGTGTACAGAGTCCCTGTCGAATGTTGCGGGACTGCATCATACTTCATAGGTCTACAGGAATTATCGAATACTAGGCACAGGCATATTATGCATAGGCGTAGCAATGGGATAACGACATTAGCCGGTACGTAATGCTCAGACTAGTCGACTCCGTGGTCTCCGGTAGCTCTAGAGTGTAATACACATGTTGTAAAACAATAAGCGTGAGTGGACTTGGGATGGATTGCTTCGGTGAACGAGTGAGCTGAGCACGTTCTCGTCCAGTAATGACTAGGTCACAGACGTAGTATAGAGTATGGTGTAGAGAAGAACGTAACGAGTTACGTAACAGAGGCAAGACAACCAGACAGTGAACCAGTGAAGTGATTATGCACATTATGCAGTGCCTCCTCGGCCTCGGCTCTAGGATTTCACGTCGATTGACCGGGGCCGGCGCCCTCAGCGCGTACAGATCGTTGCATGCCGTGCACATGGTGATCCGATGTGACCAGCGCGCTGCAGCGCATAAATCCTCGTACCCAAGGTTGCATGCCAGCGCCCTGACCTGGGGCCGCTAGACGTGCTACCGGATTTCCATGTCCACGACAGACAGTACATGACCATGATGACTGATTGTACAAAATGTAGAATGTAGATCTACTTCAGACAGTTCAGTCCGCATTCTCATCTTGCTCCGTCTCTTTGCATTTGTTCGGTCATTCCCGAATGGGCATGGAATGACGTTGGTATACCCATCGCGGAATCGGAATGAGCGTAGGAAACAAACGCACCGGCATGCATTTGGGAATCTGGCAAAAGTTTTGCGCCACTCTGGAAACGAAACGACGGTCGAATGTTTTATTTTTAGTATGAGTAGACCTGTTGTTTGCAGCCTTGCGAAGACTACCATGGACTACTGCATGCCAGTTCTGGTAGTTGCTTGCTATTTGCTTCCGTAAGTTTCTGCATCCGCCAACGATAGTCAGGATGAAGGAGCGGCCAAACACGGCGTAGATCAACGAGCGCCCGTAACTAGGGTGCCTGCAGGCGGGGTTTGGCCGCTACTTCATCATGGCTATTCGACCTCGTATCAGTCACAGAAACGTCTCTAGCTCTCGTGTTTATTTGACAGAGACGAGGCACTGTTGTAAGAAGAAGTGAAGTGGCAGGCTCGGTGCCTCTTTGTGTCTTTGGCTCGAAAAATAGTTCTGGCTTGCCTCCCTGAGATTCTAGAGGCCCTGCTCGACGATGATGAAGAGCTGAGGTGGGAGGGTACATGTATATTTCCAGTTCATCAACGATCCCGGGCGAACACTTTCTCTGTCAGCGAAGGGGCAAATAATACCACGAACAAGTTACTATGCCGTCCCCGAGGTTACAGTACCAGCCTATACCCTGCCCTGGACGATGTCCGCCAACAAACTACATAAAAATAATTATATCGATAATCGCGTTTGAAGCTTTGTTGGAGAGATAGCAGCGACGAAGCCCCTCCGCGCATTTTCATTCCGCTCGGAATGAGACCTCATTCCACTTTTTCTATCGCCAGAATCGATTCTTCACCCTTCATTCGATTCTTCACCCTTCATTCCGCGACCGGAATCGGAATTGCACCGAACAAACGCTGTCCAGTGCATCGAACAAACGCTCCGGAACCAAACCACGGCGGAATGACTTTGGTCTGGAATGGTGGCGGAATGGCACCGAACAAACGCAACCTGCTCAGAGCTAGAGTAGAGATGACCATGATCATGATGATGGCCGCCGCGTGGCGAGTGGTTGTCATTAGCATGGAAACGATTCATTAGTCTGTTGCCATTCTATTGTCATGGTAGCAATGTAGCGCTGGCTTCGCTCTGGCTTGCAAGCTTGTTTGTCTTTGACTAGTTTGAGTTTGAAGTACAATCTTATCATGTACAGACAGTGATGTAGTTTGAGTTTGAGCTTTGATTTTTGAGTTGGCAAAGAAACGCAGCGGGCCACTGAGTCTGTAGACTTTACTGTGTCAGCTTCTACTTAGTTCTAGTCTTTGTATCAGGTCCCCAAATCAAGCTTGTTTTAGCCCCAGCCTAGCCAGCCACCGTTACCGAGCCATCGTTACCGAGCCACTTCTGGGGGCTAAGTAGTACTATAGTAGTCTATGGTCGCTGGTGAAGTGGAAGGACCCGGTGTACATGGTGTACGTGTGTCAAATATACTAGTACGTCAAGTAGCACTATCAGTATTCAGAATTCTGCGCTTGATTAGTGCAACATGTAGTGGTCAAAGTCGATGCCGCTTCGGCAAGTGGATGATTATTTTTTCTGACCACTTACAAATGTAGCTGTTGCTGGCCGGGGGCTGGCACAGTTACGCCATGGCAGGCCATCAGTGGGACAACATACTCGCGGTAAGATGGCCTTACATCGTAACTAGTTCATTCAAACGTCCGTTTCTAGCGTGCGTACATATACCCTCACGGAAAATGGGAGAATCTTCAAAATTTCCGTCAGCTTTGTGCCGCAAACATTAGGAGTCTTACTCTACAGACCATTCTACAGTCGTGAATATCGAAATGAAAAGAGTTGTCCGGGGGGGGGGGGGGAGGGGGGGGGGGGCGCGCACTTAGGCCCCAGTCAAACCGAGCAAAATTCCACCATTCTGCTCAGAAATTTGTGGGCGGTTTCCATGGAAATCGCGGAACGGCGGACACTTTCCGCTGGTGGGATTCAGCCAGCAATTGGCTGGCTGAATTCCACCGGGATGCCAGGACGCGGATTTTTCTTGAGTTCTGTATTGTTTGAGGGTGGGAATATCAGTAGGAATTTCATTGCCGTCTACTGATTTTTGGTTTCGACCAAGGAAAGCCGGCGAGCAGAGCAGGATAGACTATTAAATTTTGTTTGCTTGAATATTTCCTTCAGTTTGCCGTTCAATGTGTGTTCTTCGATCGAGTTTGCAGTAGCCCTGTATGCTTGCTTGATTATTTCCTTCAGCCTTCCGTTCGATCCTGAGCATGGACTCAGTGACCAAAGCAAAGACAATTTCCAAGCGTTGTTCGCGTAGCGAATTCATCGCAGCAAACAAGTCAAACACACAGAAAAAAAACGGACGGAGAGTTGTCCAAACTTGCAACAGACGAGAGGCTGTGCATGGGCAACGAACGAAATCACTAGTAACTAGTTTATCTTACCTGCGCAAAACCATTCCACCAGTCAGCGCATGTTGGTGTGACTATGTAGTGAGCATGCAGACCGCCACTGCTCCAGTCCGCGTTTCAGCTGTCCACGTTTCAGCCAGTTTTGGTGTGACCGCGCCTTTACTGCTTTTAGCGTGTACATGCACTGTAATGCCCCGCGACCGCTGGACTTCTCAACGGATTCAAATGTCTACTACAGTATTTCCTGTATGCTTTACTGAGCAACACAAACTGAAGAAAATATCAGTTTAAAAACAGTGAAAAAATTGACTGTCCAATGTTGGAAAACCTTACACATGTCCAATGTTGGAAAACCTTACACATGTCCAATGTTGAACCAACAACCCAAAGGAATGTGAAAAATGAAAGTTGTGTCGTGATTATGATGTTGTGGACATTGAAATCCGGTTGAATGACCTTGACCGGCGCACTGGGTCCCTTACTCACTCACTGTCTTAGCGTTCACCCACTGTGGTTAGTTATATGAAGTATTCATTTTTCTCCCTGTGTGTTTTTTGCAGTGAACACGTGGTTCAGCTGTGGTGACGGCGGTAATGAAGTTTACGTCACCGAAACCCAGGAAACGTGGGTTGCTGGCGAGCAGTTCTGCCAACGTCAAGGCAGCCATCTCGCCAGCTTCCCCCAGATCACGGCATGCAAGTCAAGTTTACTGTCGTTGCTTGGTCTTGCAGTAGAAGTCCATACCAGCTACACCAGATTGCTGGATGGACTTCACTACCGTGATGTGGGAAACGTCCTGCAATTGTCGGACAGTGTCATTGACGTCAAACGCATTCCCGACAATTGCACGGATACGTTTCTTGGGAACTCATTACCGCCGGAAGACAGAAGGTGCTCGATCACCAATACGGTTGTGTGTGGACGAAATCCTGGTAAGATATATTTATGGTTTGAACCTTTACAGCAGATTACAGAGGATCTATTCTTTTGCTTGAGGTCTTTAAGCTGTTGTAGCGATAAATAGTATTAGTGAAGCTTATCTTTATACTTCGCACCATCCTCTGGACGTATAAGTTAGTTTCTTCCCCTGCATATGTTCTGTTGTGGGATGACTTTTCCTTGAAGATAGTCTCCAGAAAATCGACAAGGACAATTTATTCACCATAATTATTCTCTCTGTTCTTTGCCTAATGTCCGCTTCACTTATCCTATTTTAAACATTTTATTGCTATAATGCAGTTATTATTTCCGGGTCGCCTATTCATAAGTTTCTGTGTTTGACATTTTTTCACTATTCCCTGTAACAGTAACCACCCGAGATGAGAAGAGAACGAAAATGTCCGGTTACAATATTGCTTTTACTTGACTGTGTGGATTGTGTCAGTGCTGACACTTCTTATGAAATATCATTACAGGTTGTAATTTTAAAATTGGCCAAACATCAATTTCAGTACATTCATTCTTGAGTGCGCTGAGTCAAAATAGTGTTTTGCTTTAGGTAGCTGATTTTACATAGCCACTGAAATCCCACTTCTACCTCCAGAGAACGGGGAAGAGTGAGTGTCACCTGTGATAAATTGTACTGTTACTGGGTGCAACATGTATGACGAGACTCTCATAAGAAATAATTATTCTTCGAAGCGCATTCCAGTATGGGTGGCTTTCAAACGGTTAAAGTGAAGTGCGGAAACATGACATGATCGTATTTTGTCTCCTGTTATATTGCCGTGTAGCGTATATGGAACCATCAACAGTGTGCGGATCGTACAAAATGACGTATCATAGCATCTCGTTCTCAGCTGACGATGCAAACCGGACGTGTCGCCAACGGTATGGTGGTTGGCTGTTGTCCACAAACATGCAGCAGCTCAGCTGCGTCTCTCAGCTCCTGAATTCGTCTCAGGGGCTGAGAGACAACAACGCCACCACCATACCCCTCTACACCAGCGGCACGACCGGGTCAGCTGAGTGCGAGGTGTATTCGCCATCAAGGTCGGCAGTACTTCAAGACTCCTGCACCGCAGCCAGGCCGACCGTCTGCGTGTCTCGTAAGTTTCCTGCGGAGTTACTCTCAAGTGATACTCTATGTATGTGTGGGACCAATTTTTGCTCAGGGTTTAGCAATGAAAAAACTGGGCAAACTCGCAAGTTGTTGTGTCACAGTTAACAAATGGAGAAAGTCTTATTGAGTCCAGCAAAGTACTTATTTGAACAGACTGTAAGGTGTACTTGGCACGACGTAGCCCATATGACAAGCAGCACTTTTGCTTGAATTATGCCTGAACACTGTTCTACCCCAAAGCTATGCTCTATGTTTGCCTTGATTTGCCATGTCTTAGTCGTGTAAATTTTGTTCATATCCGCTGGATTACTAAGAATTGTATATTTCCTGCTGTGTAACATGTTTATTGCTATTGAGTGCGATGTGTTTCTGTGTTCAATTTTACAGGGTACTGCAACGGCAGCGACAACTTGGTGGCGGTACGAAATGAAGACCGGTGTCAGTGCAGACCCGGTTTTATCCGTACATCCGCACACAGCTGTAAGTGATAAGATCTTGTCTGCCATCCTCGCATCCTACGACACACCCTCTACCATTGCCCTGGATATGAAAACCTATGTTCTATTGCACACCATAGTACATGTTAGTGAGACTGGCTTGCTATAATAATGTACAGTCAAGCTCACATTCACGACAGAGGCGATACACACCGTATGACTAGTGCGATCTTGGTCGTAGGATTTTTCCTCCCGGGTGGTCTGCCCAGAGCACCTGTAGAGCTCTAAAATGTACCTTGTTGGCAAAGATAGACACCCCAACCCCCCACCAGACCCCCCCCCACCTCCGACCCCCGGTCAGACCACTCTCCACGGTCCTGTGACACCCCTGCACGGTATTCAGATGTTCTGCTTCTCTATTGCCAGTTCACGTCGCTTCGAATGCACTCTCAGCCAGGAATGATGTGACGTAAAAGAGCTGCCTGGCTTTCCCACTGGCCAGGAATGATGTGACGTAAAAGAGCTGCCTGGCTTTCCCACTGTCTGCAGCTCTAGATAGGTATACAGTCATCTCTCTCTCTTATCCCGACCCCCTCCAAGTTACGGGCACCTAGGTCTACCACCCCCCCCCCCCCTCCCCCCCCCTCCCCAGCCACTGTGCCAGTTTCAATGGAAATATTTTGCTATTGCAAATTTTGGCGGAAATAGTGATGTCATGAGCCAGATCTGTGGCATTTTCCTCAGGGGCATCGGAAGGAATTCGACATTGGTGAGGTCCGGGGTACTCCCCCGTAAAAAATGTTAGGTAAATTGGCCGAAATAACCCATAATTTCATTGCTTCAAAAGTCACAAGATGAAATTATTGGTGCGATTTTGGCCGGACCAGCCGCACCGGTTCCAACACCCCTGTTCCTATTAAAATAGAAGTATACGTTATTGGGAGTACGCAGATTAGGGCTGAAACAAACACAATTTCTCAGTAATCGAACTTTTTTGACACTAACGATTGAAGAAACGAATATTCTTTATTGACGACTCGTGGTACTGAGACTCCCGTGTTGGTGTCTAGCGCCTGTGTTGAATCCAGGTTGGAACAGAACTGCAATCCTGCTTGCCACAGCACTGCAAAACTGCACGTGACAAGTCCGTGGGGGTTCATTTCCTGTTATCAGTTACACCGAGTCGAGGACTCGAGGCACGACTTACTTGTGCGGTGTGTGTAGCTTCTACCCTTCGCAAAACAGCGCTGAAGCACGAATGTTGCACTTGTACAGGCTAGTACCAGGGAGTTGTCAAATATTTCAAGACTCGCTGGCTACCATCATGCCTCTGGTCTGCCTTGCACATGGGCAGCAAACTTGAAAAATTTCAGTTCGAGTACTCGTCATCCAACGAATGTTCATTCTGCGAAGCTAGATGAATGAATTTTGAAAATTGGCGATATTTGTTTCAGCCCTAGCGCAGATCATAATACCGTACTCGCGCGATTAGAGGCCTCTCTCTAATAGTGCCCTATCTTGAATAGTGCCCCAGTCTCTAAGATTTCAAAATTTTAAAAATTGAAATTTGAAAGTCTCTAAGAGCCAGGAAAAAAATAAAGCCCTCTCTCGAATGGTCCCCCCCCCCCCCCCCTCCCTTCCCCGGTCTTGTAACCAAGCGCATACAAATTTGGTGTGCTTTTTGTCCAAGTCATTGAACTGGTGGTTTCAGGATCAAAATCGCAGTTCGTGTTGCCCCTTTCTGTTGAGTCAACTTTAGGCTCTGTTTTTCTTCTGCTTTCTTTGTTTGTATGTGGGATGAAGTAAATGTACCAGAATTGAAAAAATAGTACCCTGTTGACTGGCTGTGACATCACACAATGGCTGGCTGTGACATCACACAATGACTGGCTATGACATCACACAATGACTGGCTGTGACATCACACAATGACTGGCTGTGACATCACACAATGACTGGCTGTGATATCACACAATGACTGGCTGTAACATCACACAATAACTGGCTGTGACATCACACAATGACTGGCTGTGACATCACACAATGACTGGCTGTGACATCACACAATGACTGGCTGTGACATCACACAATGACTGGCTGTGACATCACACAATGACTGGCTGTGACATCACACAATGACTGGCTGTGACATCACACAATGACTGGCTGTGACATCACACAATGACTGGCTGTGACATCACACAATGACTGGCTGTGACATCACACAATGACTGGCTGTGACATCACACAATGACTGGCTGTGACATCACACAATGACTGGCTGTGACATCACACAATGACTGGCTGTGACATCACACAATGACTGGCTGTGACATCACACAATGACTGGCTGTGACATCACACAATGACTGGCTGTGACATCACACAATGACTGGCTGTGACATCACACAATGACTGGCTATGACATCATAGTATACACTACTATAGACTGTCTAGGTAATACTCAGCATGTCATGTGACTCGGTGGAATGTGCTGCACCTCCCTGTGTGCATATGCACAGGCAGCAACATCCTATCTACTGTCGGACAAGACGATTCAAACATCACTCTGTTCCGTTGGTTTGAGTCCAAGTGGAGAGTGGAGCGTGTCTTCACGAAGCAGATGGTCACCCAGCTGGCAAACCTCTCATTGCCTCCAGGCATGTTTGCCTTCCGATCTGCTGCGTTGATCGTCTATACGTTCTCCACCTCCCTTCAGCCAGGTAAGGTGATGAATACGTATTTAGTCATGTCGAAGCGGTTCTGCCATGCCCAAAGACTCTAGATACGATCAAAGGACCTGATAGACGAGAACGACCTGGAAGTGAGCTGTCAAGTGTTTGCACCTGATTATGTTTTCAATGTCTACTAGGTATTTACCTGATGCTGGGCACTGGGTGGCTGTAATGAGTAGATTTGGTGGCAGTAGTGGTAACAAATCCCGTCATATTCATGCCCTTGGCCACTTGGACACTTTGACTACTTCATCCGCGTCATTAAAATTGTTGTTTTACACATCGCGATGTTTGTGACTGGCTCGTCTACGTCAGACTGTCGGAATCGCTGTTTTCTGTGTTCGAACATTGGTGCGACCCTTCCTGCACAATGTCTACTTGTTACTGAAGCCGTGATGGTCTCCGACATTGTCGGAGCTCTCATCCGCATCGAACGAATTCATCGTGCTCCGCACTATTCCGCCACAGAGCGCATGTCGTTTTTCTGGACTTACTGCCGTCCCACATCATTCCCGTGGGCATTTATCAAGACTGCAAGTTCGGTATAAGAATCCGTGTCTCTCCTGAATTCGAAATGATGAAGTTGACGATGCCAAGAACAAAGTGTTCTCAAATCCCTAAAAAATGCGCTGCGTGTGGCGCATGTAGCTAAGAAGGTAGCAGGTCTGAAAACACTAACAAATCAGCGAAGTGCTTGCAAGGAAAGAAGGTGCGGACCTGCTTACCCTATAACGCTGGAAGGTCGTTACAGTGTACTTGAAAAATGCTAGTTTTCCGTCATCGCCTGCCACCTGGAGGCATTGATCGCTTGAAAACAAAGCTTCTGGACCTGAATTTGAACGCGCGTCTTGTTCAGCGTTTTAGTGAGTGCTGAAGGGTCTGCCTCAAACTCTAATGAAGGCGTCGACCTTAGCCGATAGCGCAGCAAAGCAGGAGGCCACAAACTAAATCTTGGTCCGTCGACAATGCTCAGCCTAAATTTCTAGCTGATTTCTTTGCCATTCGAGTGGACAAGATCAATTTGAAAAATCGCTCTGGGGAGCGACAATTTTAATGACGTGGAGGAAGTACGTTGCAGAGGACTTCGGTCATGATCGACATGTCGAGGAACTATAGCCATTCCGGACTTCGGGTTGCAGGAAGCCAGAGGACAAAACGTGTTATCATGATACACACTAGGCATGGAACTGATACGCCATTGCGAGTAAACTAATCGAGGAACGACAAACAGTATGACTAAATGAACGATTACCAAATACAATGTTGAAAGGCAAAAGATCTCACAAGAATGATGGGGTGACTTTTATTGCTTTGCCGATAAGGATGATTTGCTTGTGTGGGCAAATTGCATCCATGGGTATTTGGGCACGCTTGTTTGAGTGGTGCCTTGGGGCTAACGTGAGTGAGGAGATGTGGTGTCAGACAGAGAAATATGTTGGTGAAGAGCACACTCCCGTTTCAATGGTAGTTTCTTTGCAGCGCTGGCATCTCAGCCATTGCAGAGCATCCTCTACGTGCCAAACCTGTACCGGCCAGGTAATTTCCAACTTTCTTGAAAGTTGCTATAAAAGAATAAAGTCTGCCTTTCTATCCAATTGATCCAGGTTGTATATTAGGTATGTTCTTAGTCTCTCTTGCTCGCTCTCTGTCTCTCTCTCTCTCTCTCTTTCTCTCTCTCTTCCTCTCTCTCTCTCTCTCTCTCTCTCTCTCTCTCTCTCTCTCTCTCTCTCTCTCTCTCTCTCTCTCTTTCTCTCTCTCTCTCTCTCTCTCTCTCTCTCTCTCTCTCCCTCTCTATCTCTCTATCTCTCTCTCTATCTATCTATCTATCTATCTTTGTGTCTGACTGCCTGGCTCTTTGTGTGTCTATTTCCGTTTTTTGGTCTTTATTTCTCTCACACTTCAGCGGACACTGTCGTCGCGGAGCTGGCCCGGAATGCTTCACTTTTCTTGAGAGTGAACGCCAGCTCTGGCGGCACAGTCTTGTCGACAGTAGGACGTTCTCTGAGCAACTTTACTGTGTGGTTTCGACGGTTTAACTTCAAGTGCTACAACGCGACCAACATCACCGTCAGCTGTAGCTTCAGCCCGTTCAATCAGACACTTCGTTTCGAGGACGGGCTGTACGAAGTTGCCGTCTCTCCACACAGTTCTTCTGTACTTAGCGTTCCAGCTCTGTACAGAATCCACCCAAGACCGACTAGCGCCCCCACTCTGATGACCAGCCTGCCATGTAAGTTGATATTGTGTTTACCTCAGCCAAAAATGAGCATTGGTCGATGAGCATTCACCGATGAACATTTCCCTCTGTGAAGCTGCATACGTTCATAATGAGTGCCTGTGAGAAGGCGATGCAAATTGCCGGTAGAAGCCACCCGATGTATCTACTAAGAGTTCACCATGCATGTACCGTTTGCACTGTATGCACTGTTTGCACTGGGCAGTTACACAGCTAGTGATTCATACAAATACACACGCAGTTTAGCATGTTTAGGAGATTGGTGGAAGTATCAGAAGAATGGCGGGCAATATGAAGGGGTCAGCGCTAAAAAGGTGCGGACAGGGGCCCGCTATTCTTCCAGCCCTCCAACCATGTGATGTACACTGCCTCCCCACCGCCTCTGTCTGCGATGTTTTTCAACGCTCACACTATCCTGTTACCTACCATCCTCCTGACACTTGCACTCACTTGCCGTCTCTCCTAGTGCCTAGGCCCACGCTAGCTTTCTTCCAACCCCCGACGCTATCAGACTTAGCACCCACCTGCTCTTATCGCTAACTTTGTTTAGTGTCTTTGTTCCTATGTGTTTATATGCGCACTGCTGGGTCGATTCCCATGATCAGTTGTCTGATGATTTCCTAGCGGCATCAAACTCAGAGTAAAAAACCAACCTGAACATTCTCCGCTGAGTCTGCCATGTACTAACTTCTAAGCTCTGGTTGTGACATTGAACACTCCATGGAGTTCAGGACTCACTGCATTTCTGTCAGTCATAGGCCATAATAGAAAAATGACTTTATTCTCTTCTAGATCTATTGTGCTTTAGCTGCAGGTAGAAATGAGTAGAACCAGATCATCTGTGGAGGTCATGCAGGTGATTGGCATGTCAAACAATGGGGCTTCCGGTCAATTGATTGCAATTCCATGTGACCACATTAATATGTGACAAGGGTGACCATGTGACGGCATGACCATTTAACCAGGGTGACCATGTGACGGCATGACCATTTGACCAGGGAGATCATGTGACGGCATGACCATTTAACCAGGGTGACCATGTGACGGCATGACCATTTAACCAGGGTGACCACGTGACGTCATGACCATTTGACCAGGGTGACCACGTGACGGCATGGCCATTTAACCAGGGTGACAACGTGACGGCATGACCATTTGACCAGGGTGATCATGTGACGGAATTACCATATAACCATGTGATCATGTGATCATGTGATCATGTGATCATGTGACCACAACTGAGTCTCATGAGATATTTGCCCGGTTGATTATGGAAACTTGTAACTTAGTTAGGGGTGGTGAAAGTGTGACAGAACTGTAAACAGTGGACGGGCAACACAGAATTGTCACTAAATACAGCTTGGTTGCTAGTGAAGCAGTTAGTGATGAAACGTGAACGCGAGATTGATAGTTCCATGTTGGCAACACATGCCTTTGGAATAGAGGAACACCCTGTAGGAGAATCTTTTTTTACGCTGCTTTGTCACAACCCTCCTGTTTTCACTCATAGACTCTTCAACATCAGTCATGGTGCCTCCATCGGGCGGAGAATCCACACCATCGCTGTTCAGTTCATCGCCGAGCAGCAGCAATGCTCCGTCACCGAAGGGCAGCATGGGTGGCTTGTTTGCAGGCATTGGCAGTGCTGTGGCGCTACTAGTCGGTCTCCTCATCCTAGCATGCGTGGTGCTAGTGAGACGTCGTCGCAAGGGTGGAGTCAACATCCAAGCTCAGAGAACGGGTAAGAAAGAAAGAACCAGGATTTTAAAATGTGTACTACATGTAGAGTATGTATAAGCTATCGGCTGGTTACAAGCACAAGCAAGTCTTCTGTGAACACAGCAAAGGAGACCTGACTATACTGTATCTGTGTGACCATTGTACTCCTTACACTGAACAGATACAACGGACATTAAGTACTCTGCGTAGTCTGAGGCTGCTTAGCTACCCCAGTGTAATGTTTTGATTACCTCCCTCTGCAGGGCACTGCATGATCTCCTTACGTTGCAGCTCAGGAATATGTTTCCTTCCTCTTTTGATGGTGCAAATCCAGCATGGATAACCTTTCCCAAGCATGGCCACCCTGTAATACCCTGTGAACAGGAGTGATAGAAGTAGCATCAGCAGAGACAGTAGCATCAGCCGAGACAGTAGCAGCAGCAGTGACAGTAGCATCAGCAGTGACAGTAGCATCAGCAGTGACAGTAGCATCAGCCGAGACAGTAGCATCAGCAGTGACAGTGACAGTAGCATCAGCAGCAGCAATGAGCATGCAGTTATTCTGAAAGACTGGTGAATGACAGGAGAGCAAGTGGGAGGGATTTGTGGGGGATTTCCACTTTTTTGCTGCTGGTGTTGGAGAGACAAAGAGCTATACTGATGATTAACACAGAGAGAGAGGAGGGAGAGACAATTGCGTCTTATGCAACCCGGAGAGGGAAATAATTGCTGGTTGTTGCAGCAGGATTAAAGACTTGTGTCTTCCTGTGTTGGGGAGAGATGGAATGGTGTTGGGGAGAGATGAAGTGGTGTTGGGGAGAGAGATGGAGTGGTGTTGGGGAGAGAGATGGAGTGGTGTTGGGGAGAGAGATAGAGTGGTGGCGGGGAGAGAGATGGAGTGGTGGCGGGGAGAGAGATGGAATGGTGTTGGGGAGAGATGGAGTGGTGGCGGGGAGAGAGATGGAGTGGTGTTTGGAGAGAGATCGAGTGGTGTTGGGAGAGAGATGGAGTGGTGTTGGGGAGAGATGGAGTGGTGTTGGGGAGAGAGATGGAGTGGTGTTGGGGAGAGAGATGGAGTGGTGGCGGGGAGAGAGATGCAATGGTGTTGGGGAGAGATGGAGTGGTGTTGGGGAGAGAGATGGAGTGATGGCGGGGAGAGAGATGGAGTGGTGTTGGGAGAGAGATGGAGTGGTGTTGGGGGGAGAGATGGAGTGGTGTTGGGGAGAGAGATGGAGTGGTGTTGGTGAGAGAGAAAGAGTATTTTTGGGGAGAGAGATAGAGTGGGGTCAAGGAGAAGGAGGACTTTGCCTTATGATGGTGAATAATGTTTTATCTGCCTTTTGTGAGACTATCCAGCAACTGAAGAATGCACGAGAGGAAGTGTTTTCTGATTTGGCAATTTGATGACAACAGAATTGCACTTTGGTGACCGATGAAGTGCTCCCACCGGGTCAAACCCCAGGCATGCTGTTATTTTTTTAATGATTTCATAAGTTGTCGGTTGCTGGTTGCAGGAGATGTATACATGCCTGTTGAACAAAGACTTTTTCTTCTCATCCACCTGAGCTGGAGTCTCAGCACCTGTAAGGAATATGACGACAAAGATATGGTTGGTGTAAAGCATGATCGTTTGTCCTTCAAGTAATGATAATGTGATGCCATTGTCCACTCATTTGAAGAAAATATCTTGATGGTTCTCTTCTGTACAATGCTCCATATGCAGGTCACCTTCAGGAATTTGGCACTGACTTTCCTTTTCACCAGCGCATTCGGCTCCACTTTGCGTGGGGGGCAGCCAGGTACCTTCCATATGGACCGCCCCCCGCCGCTGACGTGGACGCCATTGCTGAAGGAGAGCAGTGCTATCGGGAGTTCTGTCAGAGATGCACGTGGGACCACCGAGCAACAACCGGCCGCATGTTGGCATGTTTTGCGGTGCACCTGGCCCCGTCGACTCCTCTGTCGGCTATCAAACAATACATCACCGATGTCGCTCTAGCCGACGAGGAGCGCGGGCAGCCAGATCCCAGAACCTCTGCCACGCTTTTGTCCAAAGTCCTTCAGGAGGTAGGGGGAGCCGGGAAGCCGCCGCAGCTTCCTCTGACAACCACACTGGTCAAATTGATCATCGACCAGCTGTTGGTCAAGGAGGGAGTTGTGGCCGACGACAAGATCATGCTCCAGGCGGCAATCTTGTTAGGCTTCTACGGTTTCCAGTCACTCGACTCCATCTGCGAGTGCTACCCAAGAGGACAGGGCATCAGCGCTACTGCGGAAGATGTTACCCTCGTCAATCATCCAAACGGCGAGTGTGTCATACGCTTTCAAGAAAAGAGTTGGCCGCTCGTCCGTATTGTCTATGTCAGCAGAGCCGAGGGGCAATATTGCCCAGTGTTTGCCATGCGCACTTACTTGTCAAGGCGTAAGGCAGACACTGGGTCGCCTGGGCCTCTCTTTCGCTATCTCTCTGGTTCACCTCTAACTGTCCACCACTTGACCAGAGAGGTACGCGAACTGTTGACGGCGGGAAACATCAATCCCGCAATAGACTTCGGAGGGTACTCGTTCCGGATCGGTGCGACCACGTCCGCCATCGTCTCTGGCGCACCTGATTGGCTCATCGATGGTCTCGGTCACTGGGAAGGTCGAAGTGTAAGGAAGTACCGAGACACCGAGCTGGAGGATCTGCCCGACATGTCATCTTTCCTCTACAGGTCAGTCCTGTAGTCGGGTAGGTTCTCTAGTAACCAATCAGGGGAATTCCCGGATTCCTGAGGTGACAGGATGTGCTGCAGCATCACCATCACCATCATCAACATAAAAAATAATAATAAAAAAATCATCATCATCATCAACATCATCATCAACATCATCAACATCATCATCAACATCATCAACATCATCAACATCATCAACATCATCATCATCATCATCTACATCATCAACATCATCAACATCATCAACATTGTCATCATCCCCGCCGTCATCCCCATCGTCATCATCATTATAATCAACATAATAAACAACAACAATGTATAGGAGGCCTTGGTCTAGTCTTTACTAAATCAAATTACTAGTGTAATTATGCATTTGCCAGCTAGGCAGCAACATCAGCAGCATCAACAGCACCAGCAGCAGCAGCAGAACCCGGCTGAAGCAATAACAGTAACGGCTTGCTGAAGTGAAAACAGTAACAGATGTCTGTAGCAGAGAAACTTCCAGCCAGCTCAAGCCAGCTGAAGTAGCAGTGGCCTGCAGTAGCAACAATAGCAGCAGCCTGCAGTAGCAACAGTAGCAGTGGCCTGCAGTAGCAACAATAGCAGCAGCCTGCAGTAGCAACAATAGCAGCAGCCTGCAGTAGCAACAATAGCAGCAGCCTGCAGTAGCAACAGTAGCAGTGGCCTGCAGTAGCAACAATAGCAGCAGCCTGCAGTAGCAACAATAGCAGCAGCCTGCAGTAGCAACAATAGCAGCAGCCTGCAGTAGCAACAATAGCAGCAGCCTGCAGTAGCAACAATAGCAGCAGCCTGCAGTAGCAACAATAGCAGCAGCCTGCAGTAGCAACAGTAGCAGTGGCCTGCAGTAGCAACAATAGCAGCAGCCTGCAGTAGCAACAATAGCAGCAGCCTGCAGTAGCAACAATAGCAGCAGCCTGCAGTAGCAACAATAGCAGCAGCCTGCAGTAGCAACAATAGCAGCAGCCTGAAGTAGCAGCAGGCTGAAGCAGTCATGATAACAACAGCCGTGGCAGTGACAAAAACAGTTGGCTGTTCCAACTACCATACTAGACGGCTTTAGCCGAGACCTTTACGGCTGTAGGACTCAAGACAAATTCTGGCTGAATCAGTGGCAAAAACAGCCAGTCCAAGCACTTTAGACAAATTCTGGCTGAATCAGTGGCAAAACACAAATTCTGGCTGAATCAGTGGCAAAAACAGCCAGTCCAAGCACTTTCTTGTACAGTCGCCTGTACCAGCAACGATAACCATAGCAACCGGCTGAAGAAGCGACCAGAGCAGTCGATTGAAGCAGATAAGAAAGCAGCAACGATAATTGCCGGCTGTTTTGTTGCAAGTTTGCGGAGTTGAGGGTTCGATGGACTTCTCGTGTACTCTTCATGGTAGTTATTAGTTACACAGTGCCAATCCCAATGTATTATTGTCCAATATCTACAATGCGAACTTATTTGTCAAGGCGTTTGGCAGACACTGGGTCGCCTGGGCATCTCTTTCGCTATTTCTCAGGTTCACCTCTAACTGTACGCAGATTGACCAGAGAGATACGCAAACTGTTGACGACAGGAAATATCAATCCCGCAATAGACTTCGGAGGGTACTCGTTCTGGTGCCGGCTGAAGCAAAGACGGTAAAAGCCGGCTGAGGGAACAACGATAACTGACGGCTGAATCAGTGACTACAACAGCCGAGTGTAGCAGAGACGATAACAGTCGGCTGATCTAGTGACAATGACAGCCGGCCGAAGCAGTGATGCCAATAGCCGGCCGAAGCAGCGATGCCAATAGCCGGCCGAAGCAGCGATGCCAATAGCCGGCCGAAGCAGCGATGCCAATAGCCGGCTGAAGCAGCGATGCCAATAGCCGGCCGAAGCAGCGATGCCAATAGCCGGCCGAAGCAGCGATGCCAATAGCCGGCTGAAGCAGTAACGATAACAGCCGGCTGAAGCAGCGATGCCAATAGCCCGGCCGAAGCAGCGATGCCAATAGCCGGCCGAAGCAGTAACGATAACAGCCGGCTGAAGCAGCGATGCCAATAGCCGGCCGAAGCAGCGATGCCAATAGCCGGCTGAAGCAGTAACGATAACAGCCGGCTGAAGCAGTGACCATAACAGCCGGCTGACACAGTGATGACAAACTGAGCCGGCTGAAGAAGCGACCATACCAGCCGGCTGAAGCAGGGACGGCAATAGCCGGCTGAAGCAGTGATTACAATAGCCGGCTGAAGCAATGACTCCAACAGCCAGCTGTAGCAGAGACGATAACCGCCGGCTGAAGCAGTGATTACAACACCAGCGTGTAGCAGAAACGATAGCAACCGGCTAAAGCAGTGACGACAATAGCCGGTTGAAGGCGCGATGATAACAGCCGGCTGAAGCTGTGAAGATAAACGCCTGAGTCAATGCCTACAACAGCCAGGTGTAGCAGAGACGATAGCAGCCGCTTAAAGCAATGACTACCAGAGCCAGCTGTAGCAGACACGATAACGCACGGCTGAAGCAGCGACGATGACAGCCGGCTGTAGTAGTGACGATAACAGCCGGCTGAAGCAGCGAAGACAATCGCCGAATGAACCAGTAAAGATCGCAGCCGGCTTAAACCATGACTATAACAGCCGACTGAAGCAGTGACGATAACAGTCGGATGTCGCAGGGACTATAACAGCCGGCTGACACAGTGATTACAAAAGCCGGCTGAGGAAGCGAAGGTAACAGCCGGCTGAAGCATTGACGATGGCAGCCGGCTGAAGCAGAGACAATGACAGCCGGCTGAAGCAATGACTACCACAGGCGGCTGAAGCAATGACTACCACAGCCGGCTGAAGGGGCGATGACAACAGCCGGCTGAAGCTGTGATGGAAACAGCCGACTGCAGCAGTTACGATAACAGTCGGCTGGAGTAACAACAATAACCGGCTGAAGCAATGATGATAACAGCCGGCTGAATTAGAAACGATAACAGCCAGCTGTAGCAGTGGCGATGACAGCCGGGTGAAGCAGCGACAATAACAGCCGGCTGTAGCAGTGACGATAACAGCCGGCTGTTGCAGTGACGACCATAGCCGGCTGAAGGACCGATGATAACAGCCGGCTGAAGCTGTGATGACTACAACCACCTGAATCAGTGACTACAACAGCCGGGTGTAGCAGAGACGATTGCAGCCGGCTGAAGCAATGACTACCACAGCCGGCTGAAGCAATGAATACCACAGCCGGCTGATGGAGCGATGACATCAGCCGGCTGAAGCTGTGATGACAACAGCCGACTGTAGCAGTTACGATAACAGCCGGTGAAGTAACAAAAAAAGTAACGACAATAGCCGGCTGAAGCAGTGATGATCACAGCCGGCTGAAGCAGCGCCAATAACAGCCGGCTGAAGCAAAGACTACAACAACCGGCTGTAGCTGTAGCAGAGATAATAACAGCCGCCTGTAGCAGTGACGAAAACAGCCGGCTGAAGTAACAACAATAGCCGGCTGAAGAAGTAATGACAGCCGGCTGAATCAGATACCATAACAGCCGGCTGTAGCATTGACGATGGCAGTCGGCTGAAGCAGCGACAATGACAGCCGGCTGAAGCAAAGACTACAACAACCAGCTGTAGCTGTAGCAGAGATAATAACAGCCGGCTGTAGCCGTGACGATAACAGCCGGCTAAAGTAACGACAATAGCCGGCTGAAGTAACGACAATAGCCGGCTGAAGCAGTAATGATAACAGCCGGCTTAAGCAGTAATGATAACAGCCGGCTGAATCAGATACAATATCACCCGGTGGTAGCATTGACGATGGCAGCCGGCTGAAGCAGCGACAATGACAGCCGACTGAAGCAATGACTACCACAGGCGGCTGAAAAAATGATTACCACAGCCGGCTGAAGGAGCGATGACAACAGCCGGCTAAAGCTGTGATTACAACAGCTGACTGTAGCAGTTCCACTAACAGCCGGCTGAAGTAGCGACAATAGCCGGCTGAAGCAGTGATGATAACAGCCGGCTGAATCAGAAACGAGAACAGCCGGCTGTAGGAGTGACGATGACAGCCGGTTGAAGCAGCGACAATAACAGCCGGCTGTAGCAGTGACGATAACAGCCGGCTGTTGCAGGGACGACCATAGCCGGCTGAATGACCGATGATAACAGCCGGCTGAAGCTGTGATGATTACAACCACCTGAATCAGTGACTACAACAGCCGGGTGTAGCAGAGACGATAGCAGCCGGCTGAAGCAATGACCACCACAGCCGGCTGAAGCAATGACTACCAAAGCCGGCTGAAGGAGCGATGACATCAGCCGGCTGAAGCTGTGATGACAACAGCCGACTGTAGCAGTTACGATAACAGCCGGCTGAAGTAACGACAAGAGCCGGCTGAAGCAGTATTGATAACAGCCGGCTGAATCAGATACGATAACAGCCGGCTGTAGCATTGACGATGGCAGTCGGCTGAAGCAGCGACAATGACAGCCGGCTGAAGCAATGACTACCACATGCGGCTGAAGCAATGACTGCCACAGCCGGCTGAGGGAGCGATGACAACAGCCGGCTGAAGCTGTGATGACAACAGCCGACTGTAGGAGAGATAATAACAGCCGGCTGGAGAAGTGAGGATGACAGCCGGCTGTTGCAGTGACGACAATAGCCGGCTGAAGGAGCGATGACAACAGCCGGAGACGTTGTGATGATAACAGCCGACTGTAGCAGTGACTATCACAGCCGGCTGAAGTTACGACAATAGCCGGCTGAAGCAGCAATGATAGCAGCCGGCTGAATCAGAAACGAGAACAGCCGGCTGTAGCAATGACGATTGCAGCCGGCTGAAGCAATGACTACCACAGGCGGCTGAAGCAACGACTACCACAGCCGGCTGAAGGAGCGATGAGATTAGCCGGCTGAATCAGAAACGAGAACAGCCGGTTGAAGCAGCGACAATAACAGTTGGTGGAAGCAAAGACTACAACAACCGGCTGTAGCTGTAGCAGAGATAATAACAGCCGCCTGTAGCAGTGACGAAAACAGCCGGCTGAAGTAACAACAATAGCCGGCTGAAGAAGTAATGATAACAGCCGGCTGAATCAGATACAATAACAGCCGGCGGTAGCATTGACGATGTCAGCCGGCTGATGCAGCGACAATGACAGCCGACTGAAGCAATGACTACCACTGGCGGCTGAAGCAATGACTACCACAGCCGGCTGAAGGAGCGATGACATCAGCCGGCTGAAGCTGTGATTACAACAGCCGACTGTAGCAGTTCCATTAACAGCCGGCTGAAGTAGCGACAATAGCCGGCTGAAGCAGTGATGATAACAGCCGGCTTAATCAGAAACGAGAACAGCCGGCTGTAGCAGTGACGATGACAGCCGGCTGTAGCAGTGACGATAACAGCCGGCTGTTGCAGGGACGACCATAGCCGGCTGAAGGACCGATGATAACAGCCGGCTGAAGCTGTGATGATTACAACCACCTGAATCAGTGACTACAACAGCCGGGTGTAGCAGAGACGATAGCAGCCGGCTGAAGCAATGACTACCACAGCCGGCTGAAGCAATGACTACCACAGCCGGCTGAAGCAGCGATGATAACAGCCGGCTGAATCAGAAACGATAACAGCCGGCTGCAGCAGTGACGATGACAGCCAGCTGAAGCAGCGACAATAACAGCCGGCTGAAGAAAAGACTACAACAGCCGGCTGTAGCTGTAGCAGAGATAATAACAGCCGGCTGTAGCAGTGACGATAACAGCCGGCCGAAGTAACGACAAGAGCCGGCTGAAGCAGCAATGATAACAGCCGGCTGAATCAGATACGATAACAGCCGGCTGTAGCATTGACGATAGCAGCCGGCTGAAGCAGCGACAATGACAGCCGGCTGAAGCAATGACTACCACAGGCGGCTGAAGCAATGACTACCACAGCCGGATGAAGGCGCAATGACAACAGCCGGCTGAAGCTGTGATGACAACAGCCGACTGTAGGAGAGATAATAACAGCCGGCTGGAGAAGTGAGGATGACAGCCGGCTGTTGCAGTGACGACAATAGCCGGCTGAAGGAGCGATGACAACAGCCGGCTGAAGCTGTGATGATTACAACCGCCTGAATCAGTGACTACAGCAGCCGGGTGTAGCAGAGACGATAGCAGCCGGCTGAAGCAATGACTACAACAGCCGGCTGAAGCAATGACTACCACAGCCGCCTGAAGGAGCGATGACATCAGCCGTCTGAAGCAGAGATGATAACAGCCGGCTGAATCAGAAACGATAACAGCCGGCTGTAGCATTGACGATGGCAGCCGGCTGAAGCAGCGACAATGACAGCCGGCTGAACCAATGACTACCACATGCGGCTGAAGCAATGACTACCATAGCCGACTGAAGCAGTGATGATAACAGCCGGCTGAATCAGATACGATAACAGCCGGCTGTAGCATTGACGATGGCAGCCGGCTGAAGCAGCGACAATGACAGCCGGCTGAACCAATGACTACCACAGGCGGCTGAAGCAATGACTACCACGGCCGGCTACAGGAGCGATGACAACAGCCATCTGAAGCAGTGACGACGACAGCCGGCTGTAGGAGAGATAACATCAGCCGGCTGGAGAAGTGAGGATGACAGCCGGCTGTTGCAGTGACGACAATAGCCGGCTGAAGGAGCGATGACAACAGCCGGAGAAGTTTTGATGATAACAGCAGACTGTAGCAGTTACGATAATAGCCGGCTGAAGTAACGACAATAGCCGGCTGAAGTAACGACAATAGCCGGCTGAAGGAATGACAATAGCCGGCTGAAGCAGTAATGATAACAGCCGGCCGAATCAGAGACGATAACAACCGGCTGTATCATTGCCGATGGCAGCCGGCTGAAGCAATGTATACCACAGCCAGCTTAAGGCATGACTACCACAGCCGGCTGAAGGAGCGATGACAACAGCCGGCTGAAGCTGTGATGACAACAGCCGACTGTAGCAGTTACGATAACAGCTGGCTGAAGTAACGACAATAGCTGGCTGAAGCAGTGATGATTACAGCCGGCTGAATCAGAAACGATAACAGCCGGCTGTAGCAGTGACGATGACAGCCGGCTGAAGCAGCGGCAATAACAGCCGGCTGAAGCAAGGACTAGAACAACCGGCTGTAGCTGTAGCAGAGATAATAATAGCCAGCTGTAGCATTGACGATAACAGCCGGCTGAAGTAACGACAATAGCTGGCTGAAGCAGTAATGATAACAGCCGGCTGAATCAGAAACGATAACAGCCGGCTGTAGCAGTGACGATGGCAGCCGGCTGAAGCAGCGACAATAACAGCCGACTGAAGCAATGACTACCAAAGGCGGCTGAAGCAATGACTACCACAGCCGGCTGAAGGAGCGATGACAACAGCCGGCTGAAGCTGTGATGACAACAGCCGACTATAGCAGTTACGATAACAGCCGGCTGAAGTAACGACAACAGCCAGCTGAAGTAACGACAATAGCCGGCTGAAGTAACGACAATAGCCGGCTGAAGCAGTAATGATAACAGCCGGCTGAATCAGATACGATAACAGCCGGCTGTAGCATTGACGATGGCAGCCGGCTGAAGCAGCGACAATGACAGCCGGCTGAACCAATGACTACCACAGGCAGCTGAAGCAATGACTACCACGGCCGGCTATAGGAGCGATGACAACAGCCATCTGAAGCAGTGACGACAACAGCCGGCTGTAGGAGAGATAACATCAGCCGGCTGGAGAAGTGAGGATGACAGCCGGCTGTTGCAGTGACGACAATAGCCGGCTGAAGGAGCGATGGCAACAGCCGGAGAAGTTGTGATGATAATAGCCGACTGTAGCAGTGACGATAACAGCCGACTGAAGTAACGACAATAGCCGGCTGAGGCAGTGATGATAACAACCGGCTTTCGCGGGGTCTATAACAGCCGGCTGATGC